TCCCCCTACTCAGAAACCTATCATGACTTCGGGACCACCCCTCTCACACGTCACGCGCCAACTGATCTACTGTGTCAACTTAACTTTCTACCATATTATCAATTCGTCTGACGACGGTTTGGTGTCACGAGCTCGAAAAGTCACGAGTACAACTCGACTTTTCCGAAGAACCTCCTCCATTTTTCAATTACATGTATAAATTGAAACGCAGGCATCCCAAGAAATATAATTTGAAAGCAAATACGTTCTTTGGGAAAAGGATAAAACTTAATTTAATAAATTTTTGACGTCTGTCCCCCGTGTTGTCGACAGACTCGAGTAAATCTGCGGAAAACTATCAACATTTCAAATGTGCTACAAAATCAATATTCATATGGTGTTTCAGCCAGTCAGAGTCTTTTTGTTTTGACACTTGTGAAGCAATGACAATTGTGCTCGCGTTAGACCTTCGCGAATCGCGCATTTCTATCTTCGAGTCGTCGAAGACACCAACAAAATCATGCAAAAATGAGCAAATCTCAGTTTCAGAAGTACATGCAGCATGTCCATGCAAGCAACCGGACAAATTTAACAACTCAGGCCAAATAGCGTGTAAAAACATAAGTTTTGTATACATTTAAAGTAAACTTCCTACGGGAATCAGTATTTGTGCATTTTCCGACACAGTTAAGTGTGTAATGTTTGCAAGAGTTCCGAAATTTTTTCCGCGAGAACGCGATGTCATTTTGTCGATGGTTATATTTTTCGAGATGCGATTGACTAAGTCAAAGGGGATTTCGCCTGATAGAGACATCACAAAAATAGAAGTTTCCATTCGTTCACATGTTGACAGGCTGTTCAATGGCGATTAAAGTTAAATAGAAAAGGAAGATACAATTGTTTGGATAAGGAAGGGGAGGAGAGTACAATCAGCGCTCGAAACATGTGCAGCGAAACGAGTAAAGGTTTTGCGTACATATGCCCCTTTCCCACCCCCCGTCCTCTGGATTAAGAGGGTATGGGGTGCGCGATCACAACTGGAAGACCACTGAGGGTACCGCGTGGTAATTCGCAAGGAATGGCCACTGTGGTGGAACCGGCGGAGTTCCGCGTCGTTGGAATAATTCCGTTAGCAAGTCTACTTGGTCGCCCGCCGGATGAGATTAATAGAGAGAGAGAGAGCAAGCAAGACTGGAAACAAGCGGAGGGGTGCGCGTGGCAAATGATAACTGAAGTAACGGAGGCTAGTGTACAGTAGATGTGCTAACTCATGAAATGTTAGCCAAAATTTCGAAATGCGTTCTCGTTTCAAAAAGATAAATTGAGTAGTGTTGTAAAACTAATCATGATGCAGCATAAATCTATAATGATCCAGTTACCTCATGGTGTCGGCTTTCGAAAGAACTTATTTTCGGCTGCATGCAAGATCTATACTCTGCAAAAAATGAGTACTTAAGTAGCATGCAATTTTCTCATTGATTTTCGATGCCCTTGAAAATTAAATTATATTTCATGGAAACCATGCATAAAAATATTCATTCTTTTACTTCTTCGGTAGAAAATCACGTCTTCTTCCGATTTCATACTCAAAAGAAGAGTATACTTCGCTTTTAAAAAATTTTTATGATTCCCGAATAATTTTGAAACCGGCCTGCTTTTACACTTGCATTCAGGGTTTCAAAACTACAAGCTGTATATTTTCCGTGTACAGAAAACCATGCATTTCTCTACGGTGTTAAGAGCAAACCATATAATGTTCAAAAAATTAAGCAGTGATTTGAGCAATATTGTTAACTTAACAAGCCACATTCGTAAATGCAGATACATGACGTTTCATGAACGGCCATTTAACGGTATTAAAAAGTCTCACAATTGGCAACTTTTTTAAAACCGACTTATACTGATCTTTTAAGTATGAAATTGGAAGAAGACGTGATTTTCTACCGAATAAGTAAAAGAATGAATATTTTTATTCATGCTTTCTATGAAATATAATTAAATTTTCAAGGGCATCGAAAATCAATGGGAAAATTGCACACTAGGTAAGTAGTCATTTTTGGCAGAGTATAGATCTTGAATGCAGCAAACGATATGTTCTTTCGAAAGCCGACACTCTGAGGAAACTGAATCATTATAGATTTATGCTGCATCATGATTAGTTTTACAACACTACTCAATTGATCTTTTCGAAACGAGAACGCATTTCGAAATGTTGGTTGACATTTCATGAGTTAGCACATCTACTGAATATGCACTCCTCCCCCGTGTTACAGTCACTCTTTGGATTGAAATGGTAAGGAAGATGCAAGTGCGTGATATTTGGAAAGCCAGCTTATTCGCATCTACCGACATTTTTTAAAAAAAACTAACCACATGATAGCATTCTAGTGGGACTTCAGAACCAAACTTCGACAACTTTTCCTGCGCCAAGTTAGTATGCGGTTTTTGCGGACGGTAGAGCCCGCTGGGCTTCAGAACGAATGCTTCGTGATTTTCAGTGTTTTCAGTCGGTTGCCCATAAAGATGGGTTCTGTACTGTGCATTTATCAAAACCTGCAAAACGACTATTTCTCTTGAGAACACTTACCGAAGCAGTGAGTGTTTAGGCATTTTTTCATGCAGATGACCGTTTGGGTCACGTATAAGGGCTCACGCAAAACATGAAACTTCCTTGTCGGAAAACTGAACGTCTATAACAAAATTCTACGACCAATATGCTTTTGGTTAATTGTGAAACTTTTTCTAGTAATCGCTGATTTAAAAGCACTTTTATATGTCGACGGATGTCCAAGTGCTTTACTTTTTTACGTGGTAAGGCCATGAAACAAATCGGCACTTTTGACCGTTTTTTTCAATTTCAAAACGGTAGAACCTACTTTTGTTAGTTCTACTGCAACCAATTTCGCTATGTTTGTTTACCTTTAGGCCCCGCTCCACGATTACAAATGCACAGGATAGTAGCCACGAGAGCGCGGTGTAATTTTGTCGATGGTATATTGTTCGAGATGCGATTGACTAAGGCAAAGGGAATTTCGCCTGATTTCGCTGATAGAGACGTCGCAGGACTAGAAGTTTCCATAAGTCCACGTGCCGAGTCACCGATTTGTGACTAGTAAATTCGAATAGAATTATCAGATGTAATCGCATGCATACCCCTTTCCGTGTAGCGGGAGAAATTTGATCGAGTAAATGTATTTGGATGTTACTGGCGACAGTGAACTCCACCGGGCTACAGGGTTTCCTTGAAGTGCCAATGAATGCTTTCCAGATCTTAGTATTCACAGTAGACTTCCCAAAAATATGTTTCGCAATTTGTGTCTATTATGCTCACAAAAATGGGTTATTTCAAGGACGTATTTACGAAATATTGGATTCTTGGACACAATGTCTCGTGTTAATGGCCATTTGGGTCATATTTGTAGATTTTTCAAAAATGAAACCGCATCGCTTAAAGTAAATAAACGCCAACAACGAATGTCGATGATGTCTGTGCTCTAGGTCATTTGAAAAATGTTCTCTTATAAGGCGTTTCTTTAACAGGCTGTTTAAAATGATATTTCGATGACGGATTTACATGTACTGTGCATTTTTTCAACGTAAGGTCAAAGAAAAAATTCAAATGTCTCGCCTATGTAAAAAATGACGCTTTCAGTACTGAGGACTGAGGACTCATTTCCCGGTGATGCAGGGATAACCTCCAGGAGTCTTTTCAGGAATCCAGTTTTGTGTGTCTGAGCCACAACGAATAATACAATTTAAACTAGCTTGCTCACTTTTCGTATCATTTCTCGAGACCAAAACTCTAGCCTCAATCCCAGCCCTAACCTTGACCCCAGCCCAGTGCAAAGGAGGTATTCATACTTGTTCCATACTAATACCAACATGTGGCGCTTAGAAGAAGAAGAAGAAGAAGAAGAAGCGATGACTGGGACAAGAAGTTTATTGGCCTGACGTCTCGGATTCTCGCTCGAAGACATCATCAAAGACGGTTGCAGATAAAGGTATCAGAGGCACAAAGACTGCAGTATTTATAATACGCATCTGCCGTGAGGCTACGTGCGTACTATAATTAACAGCTGTCGTGATCATCGCTGAGGGTCTAATTAAGGCGATGATAGCTCGTCAGTCCGCGTCCGAGTCGTTGATGGCCGCGATTTCATCATCCGAATTGGATGTTGGCTTGATGATTACTCGTTAATTTGGCCCGCTGCCACTGCGACGATTGCTCGCCCGCGCCCTTCCTACACGACTGATTCCCCTGCCCAGCGAATGCCTCCACACGGAAAACGGTACCGGGAGGTCATTGGGTTTGCTGATGGATTGCGGGCCAGGGAACCATGCTTCGAGCATCTCGCCGCACACTCGGTCGTCACCCCTTGCGAGGATTTCGGTCTCTTGAAATTTGAAAATATGGCCGGGTCCTGTCGAATGAGCCGCTACCTGGGAGCTAGCGTCTCCCCGCCTCACTGCTGCTGCGTGTTCGGCAATTCGCGTACGGAGTAATCTCCCAGTTTCTCCGACGTAGTTGCTCTGTCTGCAACTGTACCAGATCCGGTAAACGACTCCAGACGTTTCCTGCCGTGGCAGCGGGTCTTTCGGTCTCATGACTTGGCGCCTGATGGTTGCTTTTGGCCCATGTGCAACCCCAAGTCCAAGTGGAGTGAGAAGACGACTGGTGGACTCTGAGACGTTCCTCATGTACGGAATCGCTCGACAAAGTTTGGGGCCGGTCGTATTTGGTGTCTGGTCTCCTTTTGCATACGCACGGGTTGAAAAAGTTGTGCAGGTAGCCATTGGCTCTCAGTACCTGTCGAAGATATTGTAATTCAGCAACCTAGTCCTCCGCTTCACTGCTGTGCGTCTCAACGCGCCGGTATAGCGCCCTTACACAACTGCGTTTGTGACCGATCGGGTGGTTACTGTTGAAATTCAGTATTTGCGTCGTGTTTGTCGCTTTGACGTTTGATGTCAAGTTGATGAGGGGTTCTTGCATGGTACTGTAGTGACCATCTGCCTGGAACATGACTTACAGTCTGGCTGCTCGGTGCACCTGCATCGATGGACAGGACATCATCGTGATCTCGAATCATCTCGGTTGCTCAGGCTCTGATGCAGGTGACTGCATGCCGACGGCAGGTGGTCCGCTTTCCCCACTACAAAAGCACAACGTCCAAATAGATGAGACATTTCTAACCCTTCTGGGGGCTTTTGGTGCAGCACTGACTCACACTTCTAAGTCCTTCTATGGTGCTCTCACCAAGAGTTGCGGTCGAGCCCTCACCTTGGCGTTCCACTCCACATCTCCAGGATCACACAGAAAATTACCGGGATTTTAACCAACACAACTGGCACAACTGGAGACTCACTTAGGCGTGCCGCCACACCCGGCTCGGATCCCGCGAAGTGGCAATGCCATAAAAGCCACATTAAGAAGGAGCCATTGCAGTCTGCCTCTCAGGCCAGCACCTGGCCACTCCTCACAAACACACAGCACTGGGCCGACTGCGAGGTCCAAGTTATCCCATCAGTTAGCAACCTTTCAAGCCACGGCTTTTAGAGCACCGTAGGAGCTTCAAGCGCGTCAGATTATTTGTAGTGAGGAAAATGCGCTGAGTCGTCGACCTCACCCTCCCTTCTCATTCCCACACCTCAGCCCCTGTCCGAGCCGGTCAGCTGACTGCAGCGGGGAATGGGCGCGGTGGCAGACATATCTAACGATCTTGTCTGCGCGCGCCACATACACGACCTGGCCCGCTAAACACAAACACCAGAATTTTACACAACGAGGATTGCACGATGTACATTTTACATGCACGACAACGCCGTAGGTCAGAGTTGGGAGGAGCTTTTTCAGCCTGGATCTCATCCCACCAGTCCGCAACTCCACATAAACACACACATGCACACACAACTGAACAGACTGCGCGGACTGGTTTGGGGAGTCACTTAGCAGCCTTCCACCTGCGCCCTCTCCCGCCTCCGGTCTTCTTGACTCTGTCATGACCGCAGGACAAGGTGAGGAGGAGAGAATGAGTTAGATGTCGTGCAAGCCCACATTCACTGTAAATTAAACCACGAACAAGTCACCGTCCCTGCCACCAACTTGCTGTTGAGCCTACGGTTGACATCGTCGGCAACGATAATCGAAGTGCCACCGAGAGGCTCAGCTTGGTTTTCTGCCAATCACAGCCATCCAAACTGGCCAATCAGATCCAAGGCTGAAAGAGAAAACAGACCCTCGGGCACTACATTCGGACCTTTGCACCGATGACATCGGACGTGCGCTTTACTCGTCCGGCTGCCAACTTGCCCCAGCACGTTTATTCATTCTGTACTGAGTACAATACTATGTCCCCGGCGTCTAACTTCTCATGTTCTTAATAGGGACCTGACTCGACTATCGTATTGATAAGATTCGGCGAGCAGCTTTAATTACCAAGAAAAAACCTTCATCAGATAAAGCAGGTCCATACTTCCGAGTCAGTACTCTGTGAGTCAGAGACTGGGGGTAAGTTGAACGATGCCGGCTCTCCAGCCGAACTGATAAGTTCTTTTTGTGCACTACGAATTTGCTTTGGTCCGAGAGCAGATTTTATCGATCATATTGCCTAATGACCTTGAGCATATCTGCAGAGCAGTTAGACGTGGAAGAATGACAGTTAAGCGCTTTTGTCGACTAACTTAATCCTCCTTAACTTCGATCGAGGCGTTCTTAAGTCTCTAAGAAAAATGGCTTACGGTATACAGTCTCCCACTGCGTACAACGAACTCCATTCAAAAAACCTCCTAGTTGTGATACTGATTATTGCACAGGGGCTTTCTTTTGGCGGTTTTTGTGACCTAAACTCCTTTTGAAATTGATTTTCCGGTTTCTCTCACTCCTCACTCATGAGTATTTTCGACATTGGCACACAATCCTGTTTACTTGACTGTGTGGAATTGAATTTCGACTTTTGCGCCTACTTGCGTTACTTTAATGACGCCATCTACGAAGTGCGTCCTTGAAGCAAATTAAGCTCCCTGTCAATTGCTCGAATCGACAATAATGAAATTTGTGTATTGTGCATGTGTTAGGTCATAGCGTTTAATCCAATCAATAATGATGAAAAAACTATTTCCAGATCGCATGTCAAAAAGAAAAGGAAGCCCTCACTGAGGGGAGTTTATTCTCGTTTTAGCGTTTTTGAGCAGGGATCTAGGAGAATAGACAATTATGTGCACTTTTTTCAGCAAATGGTGTATTTTTGTCTGTCTCTAATTTCCATACATGGGCAAACAAAATCACTCCTCGAATTTTCAGAATCAAAGCAAGCCCCTCCTACCGAACATCTGGTTTTAAGTTGCTAAAAATATTGTCTATCTCCTAATACAATGCGCTGGTCCCCATCCCGTTGGTGAAAGGGATAGGAAAATCATTTTCAGGCCGTGAAAAAACGGCCAGTTCTCAAAATTTTTAATCTTATCATTGATTGTGATCGACTTAAGGGGATGCTGCTGCTGCTGCTGCTGATGATGATGACGATGATGATGATGATGATGGTGGTGGTGGTGGTGGTGGTGGTGGTGGTGGTGATGATGGTGGTGGTGGTGGTGGTGGTGGTCGTGATGATGATGATGATGATGATGATGATGATGATGATGATGATGATGATGATGATGATGATGATGATGATGATGATGATGATGATGATGATGATGATGATGATGATGATGATGATGATGATGATGATGATGATGATGATGATGGGAAACTAGTTTTGAAAAAGTACTTCTACAACTTTCATAATTACTTCCTGCAGTTCATCTAATTTGAGAGGACTAACGGGAACTCTGTATTTTCTTCGGGTAAGTGACGTGAAAGTTAGTAAACGGTTGTAGAGTGACGCTCACCGATCATGTTACAGTACACATTTGTCCCTCTGCCCAATGGAAAACAATCTAGAGCACCGCTAACAGCCTCAGAGCAGCTAGTAATATAGGCGCAGCCACATTACCAAAAGAGACAGGAGAGACTGGAATGGCCATTTCTGAATTGGTAGCCGTCATCAGTCAGCCATATCCGGCACTATTCTTGTAACGCCTGAGGTCCGAACCTGCATTCCGTTAGTCAGAATTCCAGCATTTAGCCAATAAACCACGGGCTCGTCTTCTCGGTTGCCGTCGGGGATATTAACAATGATAGAAGGGTGCTGGCCGATCGCGTTACGAGACGGCTAAAACCTAACGTTGATGTAATTTGAGGGTACTAATGAGGATTTTGAATTCTATTCAGGCGCACGACAAGAAAGTAGGTAAAACGTCAGATAGATTGAAGGCGCGATCTCCCAGTCAGCTTAGTGTGTATTTGGCGCAGAAATTTCCTGGCAGTGCTTGTGGCGTTTGCTACGAATGCCAAGAAGTGTATATGCGGCTGTAGTCGAGTTGTTAACGTAATTTGGGTTTCGTAGACTGGGCGTACGCCGTCCCCAAATGAAGTTGGTATCATGAGTGCAAAGGAGGAGACTGCGGTCAAATCCTGCTCTCCGACTCCAGCTGCAGGCTTAGCCACTGGGGTTCTGAAAACCGTTATCACTGAAAGTTTTCGAGACATCAGACACCCCGGGGGAGGAGCATCGATACGTCTGCTTTTAGAAAGCTGACGGAAAAGTGGGCTTCTTATACAATTCATCATTTCCTCGGCGCCTGTACGTGGTCATTTAGGTATTATTTGACATCCTCATTTATGTAGCGCTTGACAGTCCTTCTTGTAGCCTGGTATGTGCGGTGGAGGCCAAGTCGTGTGTGGCGCATGGAGACGGGCTGTCGGAAATTTCCATCGTGTGACCTCCGGTTGTCGCAGAAAGAAGAGTTATAAGTCCTATTGACCACTCATGTCCGAGTCACTGAACAGCAGAATAAAAGAAATACGGTCACAATGCACGCCCTACTTAAATGCTATCAGTAGGTCTTTATACAAAAATAAGAATTTGCCATGTGAATTATTTGCCATGAAACCTAGACCGTCATGAATGATGATGCCTGTCGTGTGACTCACACCTGGTCAGACTCAGGGACGGTGACTTGCGCGCGAATAGACCTATAGTGGGGTAGCGGACTTACATACCATGTGTCGCATCCTATCTTCTCTCACTCAGCTGAGCTCGGTGTCTAGACTGAGTCAAGAAGATCAGAGGCGAGATAGAATGCAATGACTGGCAAAGTTAAACAACCCGTTTGTGCCTATCACATGTACTATATGATTTGCGCACGATGAACCAGGCTCTCTCACAAACAAAGAAGGAATGTTGCGATCCCAGCGGAGTGGAAATGCCATAGAGGCTACATTCGGAAGACGCCACTGTAGCCTGAATTTACATCCTAAGCGGACAGAGTTATCAGGCCAGTCAGTAGCCTTCCAGGTCACGGCTTTGAGTCCTTCAGTTTGTCTATGGTAAGGAATATGCGCAGAATGCCCTCGGGGGGTGGAGTCCCTCCAGACAGCAGTCCACTGTCCGAGCCGATCAATCATCTGGTACTGATGGCTGAGGAAATCTGACTGGTCGTCTACGTGTGCCACAAACAATCTGGTTCCCATATAATATGCTTACATGCATGCGTATGTCAGGAAGGCCATATTAAGAGGGAGCCATTGAGTATGGCCCTGACTTCATGGGTCGAACACAAACGAGAGGACTGGGCTCTATTGTCAATTAGCAATCTTTCCACTCATGACGCTTACTGTCTCGTGGTAGATTCACGTGCTGTGGAACTTACATCGCAACCCCGATTCTATACAGACAAAACTGCAGACGAAGGCTGAAACCTGAAGATTGTGCCTCTAACGACTTACAACAACGGGAAGCCAGCAGAACGCGTTCCTTTGACAGACATTCCACTGCGATTTAGAAGTACTCATGATGAAAGACGCGGCCTCCAGAAATGGAATTCTAAGATGAAAAATAGTGTCGGTCGATGAGCGCGCCTCGGCGTTTTCTGTGGTCACTGTATGATCGCCAGCGGTCGACAGTTATTTGTTAATCGGGCCCTAGAATGCGACTCTCGACTGCATTAATCTCAGGCCTCCTTGGAGGACAGAAGGGCATGGTAGCCAGGTCCAGAACCACCGTTTGGCAGCGGTATAGAGAAGGACCACATTTAACTGTCGGTAGCCTGTGGAGCGTGCCATACGTGATTTATGGTAAAGGGCGTTTAATGGATGAAGCAGCGCGCTAGACAGTAAGCTTACAAAATGGAAGAAAGCACAGAAATCGCCTGGATTTATGCCAAGAGACTTATCCTGCGCCATTTTGCAACAACGGAAATGAGAGTAGTAATTAAACAATAAACAAAAAATAAACTTCACAAAGTAACGGATTTAGAGTTAAGGTGTTAGGTCGTGGGAAGTCATCGTTGTCGTCAGTGTCATTTCTGCCAAAACCGGTAAATGTATGCCGAGATGAAACCACATATGACACGATCCACAGTATACTGACAGTTAATTGGGGTCCTTCTCTACACCGTTGCCTATCGTTCCCTCTAAGCCAACTTTGTGGCTTACAGGCTTCTCAGAATCACACCTGACTTGGTTAGGCATTCGGCACAATTTACGCATTTCAATAACTGCGTTCATGGAGTGCTTTGCAGACTGGCAGGTGATGGTCAACGGTCTATGCGCCGAGACTAAGATTATATACCAGGAAATTCAGAAGACGTTTGTTAGATTCTGCAGTCATATTTATTGCATGGCGCCACAGTTTTTATCTGCGGCATCTTAACTTAGATCATCTATGATTGACCAATTTGCTCGGCTAGTAGGTCAAATCGATGGCGGAGGTTTTTTGCTGAACCACTATACCAGTCATACAGAAGAACGATAACACGCGAAGTGTTAACCGAAATAGTGAAATGCATTTTGGACTAGAAAAGATTACTAAAGTATGGGCGTAATATTAATCAGCGTACAGCATAGTCCCATTATAATTCAGTTACTTGAGGATGCCGGCTTTTGAACAAACGTCTTTTCGGTCGCCCGCAAAAGCGGCACTCCTTACAAATGATTTTTTATGTACCATGACTTTTTCTCATTGATTTTCGATGATCTTAGGAATTTAAATATATCTAATAAAAAACTGCATAAAATATTCATTCCTTTACTCGTATGGAACGAAATTACGGTAGACGTGCTAACTCCTGAAATGTTGCCCGAAATTCTGAAATAAATTTTCGACTCGAAAAGTTTATTTAAGTAGCGTTGTAATATTAATAATAATAATGCCGGCTTTAAAATGAACATCTATCCGGGCGCCTGCGAAAAGTGCATTCTTTAAAAATTGACTCCTTACACAGTACGAAATTTTCTCATTTATTTTTGATGGCCTTATTAATTCAAATATATTTCATAGAATATATATATTCATATAAATATGAATATTCATATAAATAGTCATTTTGCACTCATTTGGTAAAACATTACGTCTCCTTCTTATTGTTTTCTTGAAGAAAGAGTACAGTCTAGTTTGAAAAACTTTTAATTCTGAATAATTTTGAACCTGATTTGCCGTTACATTTGCATTCGGGGTTTCGAACCTACAAAATGTATATATTCCGTGTACGGAAAATCACATATTTCTCTACGATATTAATAGGAGACCATATGGGATTTATAAAATCTAGCAGTAGATTTGAGCTGTATTGTAAACTTTAGAAGCAGCATTGTTAAATGCAGAGACACAATATTTTATGAACTGGCATTTTATGCTCTTGAAAAATCCCATAATCAGATACGTTTTAAAATCCGATATACATCTCTTCTTCAAGTATGAAATTTAAGGAAGACGTAATTTTCCCCAAATTTTGCAAAGGAATGGATATTTTTATGTACGTTTTCTGTGAATTATATTTGAATTTATAAAGCCATCGAAAATAAATGAGAAAATTTCGTACTATTTAGAAAATAGCTTTTTACAGTATGCTTTTTCGCAGGCAGCCAAAAAGGAGTTCGTTTAAAAGCCGGCATCCTGGAGTTACTGAGTTATTACGGGATTATGCTGCGTAATGATTAATATTGCAACCAAACTTGAATAATCTTTCCGATTCGAAAACGTATTTCAGAATTTCAACTGAAATTTCATGATTTAGCACATCTGCTACGTCTTTTTTAAATTTTATGCTTAAAGGAAGTATATGATTCGGTTTTAAGGAAGTTTGTTATTATGAGTTTTTCTAAGACCATGAAATGTTACAAAACATCGTGTCTTTGCATTTACCACTATTGCTTGTAATGTTTACAATATGGCTCAAATTGACTGCTAAATTTTATAAACTTCAGGGGGTTTCCTCTTAATACGTTAGAGAAATGCATGGTTTCCCCTAGACGGAAAATATAAAACTTATAGTTTGGAAATTTTGAATGCAAACGTAACGGCAGGTCGGGTCCAAAATTATTCGGAAATTGGAAGAGTTTTTGAAAACCGAATTATATCCTATCTTCGAGTGCAAAATTGGAAGAAGACGTGACTTTCTGCCAAATGAGCAGTAGAAAGGATATTTTTATGCATGTTTTCCATGAAATATAATTGACTTTTAAGCGCACCGAAAATCAAAGAGAAAAATTGATACTACATAAGTAGTTTTTTTACGGAGTGTGGTCTTTGAAAGTGGCTGGAAAAAAATCGTTCGAAAGCCGGTACCCTTAAGTAGCCGAGTTATCATGGACTTATACTGCATGATGATTTCTATTACAGTCATCGTTAAATACTTTTTTTCGAGTCGAAAACGCACTTCACTATTTCGGTTAACATTTCATGAGTTAACACATCCATTGTATGTG